GTGATCCTTCCCCACCCACTTTTGTGCGCTTGGTGACGGGGCTGCGATTGGTTCCCCTTGATTTGTGCGCTTGGTGATGGTGCAGTGATCGTTTCTCCCTTTTGTTCTGACTTCTCCTGTGTTTTATTTTTCCAATGCTCATCCCTTAGAAAAAGGCACAGGAAGGGATTCAGAGATGCCGTTGCCTCTCCCCAGATCCTTGGGCACACATTTCTCCTCTCTCCTCTCAAGGCAGGGCCAGTGCAGCCCTCACGCCCACCTGCTGGTGCTCACAGATGTTACTGTGGTCAGCAGGCTTCAAAATGTGCTCTGAGACCAGCAGCATGAGCGGGCACCATGTGAGAAGGGTAGTTCTCTGGCCTTCCCTAGACCCGCTGCATCAGAAACCCTGGGGCTGAGCCCAGGAATCGGGGGCTTAAGAAGCTCTGGGTAAAGCTGGCACACACGAAGGCTGGAGAAGCCCTCGGGCCCAGGCCACGTGAACAGTTAAGTAGAAGGCGTGTGCCACCCAACAAGGACGGGAGCAGGCAGGTTGTTGCCGCATAGTGGAGGTGAAGTGAAGTGATGCCCGTGACGACTTCCCGTGAACAACAGGGCATGCTGTAAAAGCAAAGGGGTATTTCAGGTCCTCAACCTGTTTCCTAATGAATAGCTGCTATGACAGATAAATCAGTGTCCACATTTGAAGAATTTGAGCATCATTATCTGTCCTATTTTAAGTGGAGGACACTGGGTAAGAATGGAAGAATTAGAATCTTCTGGTACATAATAGATGCAGGAATAGCAGTGGGACCTTATCTTTCTATAACTTTTAAACATTTACAGACTCTATGGTCAGCCAGGCTCTGTAGCCACTTGGTTGGAGGCAGCAGCTTCTGGGTTTGTGTTGACCGTTTTGGCTGTGAGCTCACCTGTCTTGTGATTTGCAGACGCATTATGCCGTGCAGGACACAAAAGGCTTCCACACGGAGGAGGATATCGACGGGCTCCACGCCACCATCGAGTGTGAGCAGCCCCAGCCCGACCTCTACAAGTAAGCAGGGCCTGCAGGGTCTCTAGAAATGGGTTATGCCCTCAGCCTTGTTCTTGCTTTTTCACCCCAAATACTCTAGCCATCTGCTGGTTTGGAAAGAGAATGTAAATCACTGCTTAAAGATTAAGTCAAAAAGACATTACTCATTTATTTGCATAGACTTGTACCACTCAGATTTGTAGCTTTTTATTTATGCAAATATTTGAAGTGGCTTAATGGAACTAGATTTGTGGGGGGAAAACTAAGTTTTCTTTATTTTATGGAAGACATTCGTAAACTGCAGGGTAAGGAAAATGACTGAAGCCATGGGCTGATCAGAACAGAAAGTACAACAATGAAGGGGCTGAAGGAGAGCCGGCTTAGCCACACGCGGAATGGGCTGGCTGGCTTAGCCACATGCGGAACGGGCTGGGTGGCTTAGCCAGACGCGGAACAGGATGGTTGGTTTAACCACACGCAGAACAGGCTGGCCAGCTTAGCCACACGTGGAACGGGCTGGGTGGTTTAGCCACTCGCGGAACAGGCTGGCCGCCTTAGCCACACGTGGAACAGGCTGGGTGGTTAGCCACTCGCGGAACAGGCTGGCCGGCTTAGCCAGATATGGAACGGGCTGGGTGGCTTAGCCAGACGTGGAACGGGATGGGTGGTTTAACCACACGCAGAATGGGCTGGCCAGCTTAGCCACATGTGGAACGGGCTGGGTGGTTTAGCCACACGTGGAAAGGGCTGGGTGTTTTAGCCACACGTGGAACGGGCTGGGTGTTTTAGCCACACGCGGAACGGGCTGGGTGGTTTAGCCAGATGTGGAACAGGCTGGCCGGCTGAGCCACACACGGAACAGGCTGGGTGGTTTAGCCACACGTGGAACGGGCTGGGTGGTTTAGCCACTAGCGGAACAGGCTGGCCAGCTTAGCCACACGCGGAACAGGCTGGGTGGTTAGCCACTCACGGAACAGGCTGGCCGGCTTAGCCATACGTGGAACGGGTTGGCTGGTTTAGCCACACGTGGAATGCGCTGGCCGGCTTAGCCACACGTGGAACAGGCTGGGTGGTTAGCCACTCGCAGAACAGGCTGGCCGGCTTAGCCACACGCGGAACGGGCTGGGTGGTTTAGCGACACCCAGAACAGGCTGGGTGAAGACCTGCACCTCACAGTGGCCTCCTCTGTGGACACAGGAAGGCAGGCAGGCCAGGCGCAGGCGTCGGGGTGGGGCCGCTGGGTGCATCCCGTCAGTAACGTGGCTTTTCTGTCGCCAGGTTCGTGGGTCGCATCAACGTTTACAGTGACCTGAATGACCCTGTGGTGAGGTGAGTGCCTCTGTGGACGCATGGACCATGGTCATCTCCCTTGTCGCATTAGAAATGCATTCTTGGACAGACGAGCATTTCCACAGCCACTACTCTAGTAGATTTGGAAGGTGGAGTTCCACTTTCCCAAAGGGCCAGGCTCTGCTCTCTTCCCTGGTGTGTCTCAGGCACACATGTATGAATGTTGACAAGTTACTGATGCTCGTGAAACAAAGTTTTGCACAAGACTCTGCCAGGAGGGTCGTCTCACAGGCCAGGAGGTGCCAGGGGTCCATGAAGAGTCTCGAAGTGACGGGCAGAGTACAGCGTCCCCATGAGAAATGCCCTCTCACGATTCCTGTGCTGATTTGTCTTCAGATACGAAGCTGAAGACTTCTAATTTGGGGGCCGTTTTTTGGAGTGTATTTCATCCACTCGCCATCGTTAGTGGGGTGCATTATGGGCTCAAGGCCTCTCTCTGGCTCATGTCCACCCAAGAAGGTGGACACAGTGACCCGGGGCCAGGTTGGGGCAGCTCACAGGCGACTGCTGTGCCTCCCATTCACCAGCACGGACTCAGCGGCAGTCACACCAGCAGTCACACCGCGCATCTGTGAGGAAACCAGAGCCTCAGGCAGCTCCTCTTTGGCCCCGGGGCAGCCTCGGCTGAGAGCCAGCCGGTGCCCAGCCCACCTCCGAGCAGCGCCCGCCTCCCGGGCCTACGGATATTCTCCCTGACATTATTTCAAGATCTGGCATTTGTTGCTGACGGATGCTAATGATGGGTAATGATTTGTCATCATTACCCATCAGCAGGCCAGCAGGTGCTTCTGAGGATTGATAGTGGCCTTGCCTTGGTTTTCCTAAATACGTACTTTTCTAAAGGTAAATTCCTCCTTAGTTTGGAGAAATCACTTGTATTTCTGTGTGCTGTGAGAATTATTTTGTGTTTGAATGAGTAAACAGACTTAGGTTTATTCATATTACCTACGGGTTGAATCCACAGTATTAAACATTGCAGGCTTTTCATCTTTATAGTTAGACCAAGTTTATTGCTCAGCAACCTGGGACGATAATTGCTAATATATTTTTCATTTTGATACTAACTCTAGTTTCACTTTTATTTTATTTTATTTTATTGGAGACAGAGTCTCGCTCTGTCACCCAAGCTGAAGTGCAGTGGTGCAATCTCAGCTCACTGCAGCCTCTGCCTCCCAGATTCAAGCAATTCTCCTGCATCAGCCTTCTGAGTACCTGGGGTTACAAGTGCGTGCCACCACACCTGACTAATTTTTGTATTTTTAGTAGAGATGGGGTTTTGCCATGTTGGCCAGGCTGGTCTTGAACTCCTGACCTCAGGTGAGCCACCGCACCTGGCCTGGTTTCACTCTTAAATATTTATGCTGTTCAATAGACTTTTAATATTTAGGTTATTTAAGATGTTTATAAATTTGTGAAGTGAACAGTTAAGAATTATGCACCTAAATTCTCAATCCATTCAGAGCAATGTTTCTTCTTCCCTCTGTCCTAACTAGAAGCAAAGTACTTTTCCGAGTAAATTATTTTTAGGCTTCCTTGAGTCACCTTTCTAAAAAAGCTGTTTGTTTTCGTAGACACTTGACAGGAATTATTGTAAGTGTGTTGGAAACAGAAGCTGACAGTCCTTATCACACAACCAGACAACCCGTATGCAGCCCAGAGCTCCATCTTGAGTGACTGCCGGGTCAGGAGGCGCGTGGCAGCCTCAGCCACAGCCGGGGGCGGACGCTCTGCCTGCTGTGGCCGGGACAGCTGTATCCCTCAGGGCAGCCCCACGCTGCCTGCCTTCAGCCAGATGCAGTTCTGAGTTATGTCGACCAGATGTACTGCATGCATTTTACATTCATAATATTCAGTAGGTTCTTCACTTTCTATGATAGAAGGACAGTAAATACAATGATACATGAAAAGCAAACTTCAGCAAACACTTTTGACCCTTTCCCCTCCGAAGAAATCCTTAGGATGATATCAGTAGCAAAATTTATAAACTGGAATCTTGCCGCTTATTTCTCCCTTACCACTATGAGAAGAGATTATTTTTCCATCAGCAGGGAACCCTGTTATATCAAGCATATAAGCCCCTGACAGCAGGGACCCCACCCGCTGCTCACCGTGGGTTCAGTGCGCAGAGCTATGCTTGTTCCTCGATGCATGAGATCTTTGAGCTCTTTGGCCATTGCTTGTTTTTCCCAAAAGTAGCCATGCATGGACTGCCCCGGATGGATAGGTCTCCCGTTCAGAGGAGCTCTGCAGTGTGGCTTCCAGTGTTTCTAAAGGCCAGACAGAGTATCAGCTTTTGTCTCCAGGACAGACAAAGACTGTTACATGAGACCCCCCCGAGTCTCACTGAGGATGTCATAGAAACAACTGAGGCTGGGCATGGTGGTGCCCCACTCTCATCTCAGCACTGTGGGAGGCCAAAGCAGCAGGATCACCTGAGCCCAGGAGATCAAGGCTACAATGAGCTGTGATCGTGCCCCCAGCTTGGGTGATACAATGAGACTTTGGCTCCCCAAAAAAAACCAAAAAACAGGGACAGCTGAAAGTTGAGCGAGTCACATGCACCCCTCTTTAGCCTTTCCAGAACATTCTGGGACCTTCCAATGCAGCTGTCCTCAACCTGAGGCTTGTTAGGAGAGGGTTACTGGGCCCCACCCCAGGGTTTCAGGTTCTGACTCTGTGGGTCTGGGGCGATCTTCTTGACTAGTGTGATGTTCCTGACGGGCTCCAGGTGCTACTGACGGCACTGGTGGGGCCACTGCAGGGACCCCTGCCCTAGAGGTCTGTCAAGGAGTATTGCTGAGGCTGTCAGGTGCAGCTCAGTGGGTCTGGGTGAGGCCTGAGGTCCCATGTACCTGCAGGCACTGATGGGAGGTCCTTGCTGCTACTCCTCCCCAGCAGATAAGACCACATCCTTTCGCTTGGACCTGGGCTGACTTCATCGTCTAAACATAAGCAAGCCGCCATGTATACCATCTCCGCTGAAAATGAGATCTGTTGAGCAAACCAGCGGGTTTTGTGTCTGCCTCTCCCCCCCACTGCCTGCCCATTTGCCCTCACGTCCGTATCATTTCTGATCATCCGTATCCTTACAGGCCCTTAGGATCTGAAAACTTGCTGCTTAGAGGAGCCACACTGAAGAACACGGAGAAAATCTTCGGTAAATATTTAATTCGTGAGTTACTAACCATTGCCTGTAATGTTCGTAAGACCCGCAGCAGAACCCTGAGAGAGTTCCTTGGTGCCTTGAGGTGCCAGAGGCTTTCTGGCCATGCAGTTCCACCCACTGAGATTAGTGTCTGTGGGTAAGCACGGTCCTGATGCAGTGGCACCAGAGAATACGGCTTGCATGTTGAGGCCTCTAGTTTTGGATTCAGAAACAGGGAGTTTCATCCGCGAAGGAATTTATGAAGTTGAATTGTGCACGACGTTTCTTTCATGCCTGTGTTTCTTGGCTAGGATCTCCCATTTCTTGTGGGCTGTTGTCTATTTTAATTGAGGTAACTTTTAGAAATATACCCGTGTGCCCCACTGTCAGACCTAGTGTCCTTGGGGGGCTGGCTCCAGGACGCCTGCAGATGCCAAAATCCACGGGTGCCCAAGGCCCCTTTTTGCATGTGGCCTGCACACGTCTGCCCCTCTGGTTCACAAGGTCGTAGGTGACGTCCAGTACCTAGCACGGCGTAAATGCTAGTCACGTAGTTACACTCGCTGTTTTTATCATCTGTATTTTTAATCATTGTATTGTTATTTTTGGGGGGGATTTTTTGAAATATTTTGCATCCCCAGTGGGTAGAACCTGCAGATTCTGAACTCATGGCCGTGCACAGCCCAATGTATATTAAGATATGACCTCTTAAAAACTGAAGCACAGATTGCCTCCTGTGTACGAAGAAAGGTTTTGATCCTAAAGAATCGAGTTCTAATGTTGTGTGACTATGGACACTAGTTCGTGAAATCAAAAATAGGGTTCATTTTACTGAAAAACGGATTTTCCCCGCAGCTGTGTGTAACTCACCGCAAGGAAGACAGGCTTGCGCCGTGGTCCTCACCTTCTCCTTCCTCTCTGTAGGTGTGGCTATCTACACGGGCATGGAAACCAAGATGGCACTGAATTATCAGTCGAAATCGCAGAAGCGGTCTGCCGTGGAAAAGTAAGGCTCCCTGCCCCGTCGCTGGCGAGCGTGAGAATCTGCGGCTTAGAAGTGTCAATACCCACTGTAGACATGGAAGTAGCTTCTTCTTGGCTTTATTGGCGGTTCTTTCGCCAATAGACAGCATCTTAGTAACCGCAGAGCTGACTATTCAGATGGACTTTCTTACTCTGTGGGGAGGTGAATGGCCGCACCCCTCCTTCCTGCACTTCCCAGCGCCTGGTAAGAGGCAGCGCTGTTACCCCTTACGGACGCCCTGAGATTCTGGTTCCGAAACCAGTCCAGTGTTCAACAGTTCCTCCTACCGTGTCATGAAAAACTCCAGATGGGCTCGCTTTTCACTCTGGGCTTTGGTGGAAGCCACGCATTCCCGGCTGTGGTTTTATGAGGGAAAGCATTAGCAGACAGAACAGAGTCATCTTTGCATTAAACAGTGAAGTTCTGATGATAAATATGTCAGAATGGTAGCTGAATTTGTGCCGGAAAATAGAGGCTTCTTCCCGAGCTCGGCCGAGACCTCCGTGAAGGACCCGTGCTTTCCTGTCCTGAGGACACTTCCTTGCAGAGCGTTTCCTTGTCTCCCGTCCTTCCCTCTTCCCTCTCTTCCTCCTTCCTTCCTTTACAGTGGGGGCTAGTCACTACATTCTGAACTAATTTGTTGATGCTCAGTGGTAGAAGTTGACCTCTGGATGTTCCTTTCTTTTTTTTTTTTTTTTTTTT